TTAATCGTCGTAGCCAAATACCATCAATCCAATAATTAATCATAACTCTACAAAATAAATATTCCGCCGATCGCTCACTGCGATTGACAAAACAACCACTCGATGTGTAAGTGCAACAAGTAATAGTTGCTAGCTAGAGCATATGACTGAAAATTGCTAAGTTGTAAGTTTAAATCCGAAATCCGCTCATGGGCTAACTTTTGATCGGAATCGGATAGTGTGCACTAATCTGAGCATTATTATTCTTGTCCTGATAGCAGTTATCGCTAGCTTTCTATGGTGAATTTTTTGTTGCTTTTTCATTTGCTCTGGCTGCATTCAGAGTTCAGTTATGCGGCGGTGTCCTTAATAGTAAGATTTCAATGAAGTTGTCAAAGAGGTGAATGAAGACTGCGTTATTTTAGGTCAATCAAATGGTTGGTGACTATTTCTTCACGTGTGACAGCATATGGCTAGCTGAGCAGATGCGTGATGGCGGTGGACACGTCTACGTCTACTATTTTGATCAACCGAGCAGGTCAGATACGTCATCCCTTTCTGGCTGTCTCGGATGCTGTCATATCCAAGATTTTCTAGATTTACAGTTCAGCTCAGACTAGACTAGTGGTGCTCTAGTTCACGATCAATTGCTTGCGATTCTTGAAGCAGGGCTTGAAGAAAAGTTTTGTCACACATGGGCGCGCACTAGTTGTGTTGAACTGGCTGATAATACGATGGTGAAACTGTGTAATTCCAGAGGCTCAAATGAACCATATTTTAGCGAACATCCAGCTGGATTTGATGATTTGAAATTCGCTACTTTATTGGAAGATTATGAGCAAAAAAAAGAACGCACACTTCTACAGTTGAACAACTGAGCAGATAATTGGATAATAGATAATAATAGGTACAAGATAATAGATAGATAGATAATAGATATTGGATAATAATAGATAATAGAGCAGATAATTGGATAATAGACATATAAGCCGGATTATAGCCTGCTGCTGGCTCAGGCTCACACAGCATTAATGATATTGGTACACCACTCGGTTTCGAGCGCAAAACTTTCCT